CCACGAGATACTATATCATGGCCACGAGATACTATGTCGTGGCCACGAGTCACTAAGTCGTGGTCACGAGATACAATGTCATGGCCACGAGATACTATGTCGTGGCCTCGAGTTACTAAGTCATGGCCACGAGATAATATGTCATGGCCACGAGATACTATGTCGTGGCCACGAGTTACTAAGTCGTGGTTACGAGATAGCTAAGTCGTGGCCACGAGATACTATGTCATGGCCACGAGTTACTAAGTCGTGGCCACGAGATACCTTAGTCGTGGCCACTAGATACTGTGTCCGTAATTGTCCCAACAAACAGCTTTAGTCAAAGTTATTGTCTGATGGGCCTTGTAAGGTGACTTTTTAATATGATCCTAAATACAAGTTCAAAGTGAATATCTCCAGTATTTTCAAAGATTAATGTTGCATGAAAAAGTAAGTTGTTAAGTTTAAAAAATTCATAATAAATAGTGTGTTTTCTAATTCGTTAATTATATCGTGCGCACGACTAAGTTATCTCGTTCCCACGACTTAGTAACTCGTGGCAACGACATGGTATATCTGCATTTTTAAAATAGACAAGTTCAATTCTTGAAGCTTTTATTTATTTATTTATTTTCTTTTCTTTTTCTCAATATGAATAGCGTTGTGTCTTTTTTCTGTTAATACGAATAGCGGTGAATTATCCAGTTTATAGGTTATGTATTTTAAGGTAGTGCATTGTATTTACTGTTGTGTTGGGTAAATATTGCTTCGTGTGAGAAGCAAGTTAGGTTTGTATAATAAAACAATATTCTGCGGTATTGTACTAAAAGCAACTCACAAATGCTACATTCAAAATTTATTATTCATTCAATCGTTTAGCTTAATGTTATTTTACCTTTAGAGTGCTTGGCTAAATTAACATGATAAATATGAACATTTTGTATATTAATAGGAAGGACTAAGTAAATGTACTTATATGAGCGCCGCGACAGTTGTATTCTGGAAAGTTCTTTGAAACAGTTAGCCCAACACTTTAGAGTATTCTAAATTTATTCGGACACGTTGACATCTATGAAGTTGACTTTACCACACTGGGTTCGAATCCCGCTCGGTACTTAGAATTATGTCCTGTTGGGAAGCTATTCAGGCATTATACAGAAGGTCGTTTATTGTACTCAGGTGTAAGCCTCTGTCTGGTAAAATGCACAAAATGGCATTATTCTCCACTAGTTAAACTGAAGAAGACCTACGGCCCTTTGTCTAAAATCCAACGAACCAACTTTACCAGGCGATATTCACAAAAATATAGAAATATTAAGGTACCGATGTTGCCGATTGTAAGACAAGAGTAATAGCGACATAAGCTTGCTGGGAAGCTTTCTCACATGTAGAAACCTGCAACGCTTCTGCCGCTCGAACCTGCATCGCTGAGAGGAAAGCTGATTGAAATCAACGATCTTTACCACTCGGCCACGGACGTCCCCACTCTCTTAAGAAATTACAAAGAGAAATATCAGGTATGATACTGGAGGATATTATATCCTTTAAAAGCTAGATTAATGATTCGCGGGCAATTATATCAACTTTAGGAGCTAAATATCGCGCTGGCACTTTGACGCATTGCAAAGCACATGGTTTTTAAAACAATGTTTTAAAGTAATATATAATATTATTATAATGTTATAACTGCCATATCCATACAATAAAGTTGCACACAATAAACGACGTACTAATTAGGAACATTAATGAATAACTTAGTCTTTATATTTAAACCTTATTAAAAACATTAAAGGAGGGTTGTACTGTTGCCAATTTTGATTCAAATGGTCAATCGTTGAAAACAATCTCCTAAGTGGTGACTAGTTTATCTTTTATTTTCGAAAAAAAAATTACAACGAACAAAGATCGAGATTCATCGATATAAATATATTTCCACAATACGTGACAAATTTGTCAAAAAAACCTACACTAATTTAATGTCTTAAACATGCTATAATATAATTATCGATCAGTTCATTGTAAACTATGTCTATTAATTGTTCTATATAAGTCACGTTTGAAATCAACATGCTATTGTCGATTTGATTATAATTGATCCAACTTGAATCCAATAAATACATACGAAGGATTTTATTCGCAGCTGTTTATGAAATACAAAAAGTGTAATAAATAAAGTGACATAGAAGTTGTAAAAGGTAAGATGTTGTTTATTTTCTCTTTATCTTATCTGTTAATTTCCTTATTTTAAACATCATGAAAAGTAATTTGCGTTTTTGTTTGATTTATTATCGATATTCTTAAAGTTTTCTCAACGTTTATCTACATAAATGGGCTTAAATTAAGTTAAAATTTATCATGATTTATATCTTATTACTACAAATTCACCCAGCTAAATGACTTCTACCTGGCACATATATAGGTCAGCTAACAATCAGTTTCATATACCAACTTCTAGTTAGAAGCAAACCTTAGATGGCCGAAAAATCGGTATTCGGTACGCCTAATAATATTACACTAAATAAATAATACTTAAAATATGCGCTTTGATTTGATACTTCCTTTTGCAAGTATATTTGACTAATTGTGTTCGCTTTTGAAATACCCATGTGTGAACTATTTTGATATCTTAATCATACCTGAAGTAATGCATTTCATTTGTAATTCAGGAGCAAGTTTATTAAAGTGATAAGTGCTATGAGGAGTAATAAAATACTTTCCATCGATAAAGAATACATTATTGTATACAGTTAATAATATTGTGACTTTTTCTTAGTTCGTGTAATAGATAAACAAAATTGAAAGCAAAAGTGTCATTTCCTCTAGATATTTCATTAACTTCTGGTCAAATCGTTTCGAACAAAGTATTTCTTGTTAAGAGTTTATCTACGTAACCCATTATATACAAAACGGGATCCAATGATTCTCTCTTATGATTTTATTTTGAAAGGGTGTTCCTGATGGAAATTTGAATAAGACTTAGGTTGCATATTTTTCGTATCGACCATTTCATTTTCACCGATGACATTGATCTATTTTATCTACTGTAATAGGTACTACTTCAATGTTTAATTATGTTCTGTAAATTTAAAAAAAAATCGCCCCTACGGTCATGTATCGCTCTCCGTTGACCTTCACTTTGTTTTCTTGCCGTATTAGCTCCACCCTTGAGATAAATGATCGCAGATAAAGGATGCTAGATTCACTGAATTGAATGAGTTTGGCGAAATGGTCACACATGGTAAAATAAAAATAAAATGAAATAAATAATAAATTATTTCAATTAAACGGTAAATACTGATCTAGTAAGGTTTATTGTATAAATCCATAATTATTGACACCTTAATTCAAGAAAGAATATTGACAAAAGCTCGGGATTTTCTTTTCCATAATCTACTACGTTACTAACGCAGTAGCCAATATAAAAAATGAGACAAAAATTCATTTAACACGGTCACGTGTCACAACAGTGGTCCGGAAAATATCCCGGTCTCCGGTATGCCGGGTGTCATAATCGAAAAGTGATATATTATATCATTTTTCGTCATTGAACAGGCCATAATCATATTTCAAGCTAAAGATTATATCTATAAATTGATCATCATATATATGATATAATTATATATACGATATTATTAATCAATTTAAATTTAAATGCCACAAATCACTACAAATATAAAAACCAAAGCAGTTATTCGTTTTGCTCTATGTTCGATATGATCCCGGATTCCGTGCGTTCCGGAGCACAGGTCGCGATTTTGTCTTGTGCAATCACGTGCTACTACAAAAAACCGAATGTAAGAATTCCGTAGTATAATAAGTGAATGTATTTCTGGTTAGCGGAAAAGCGAACTGTTTGTTTTCAGAGCAATAATGTTAAAATCTGAAAATTTTCATTTCGATTTCTTTCAACTGAAGTGTAAAGTTTTTTTAAAGGGGGATTTTGAAATATTAGTACAACGGCAGTTTTTCATCTGGGGGTCCGCCTCTTTAAAAAAAGGAGATCGAACTTTTCAAAATAGAAGCTTGTTTTAAATAACAGTTGTTAACGATTTCTACACGTTATGCTACACTTTTAAATTAAAAGAAACAAAGATGAACAATGTATGCAACACTATTTATGTTGTGCTCTTTGTAAAGTTATAGATTTAAAGTGAGAATATGAACGTTGATGGAAAAATTAATATCTGCACATATCATTTCAAATTATATACATGTAACACAATTAGTAAACATGTTACAAGATTGCAATGAACAAAACAATGTAACTTTATGATTTCATTATGTTATGAATGAGGGGAATATGCTGTTCTGAGGCAAAAATAAGTAAAAATGACACATCAAAGTTTGATTGTATGAAAGATCAAAATACATTTTGATGCACAAATGCTTTTCTTTTTATTCCTTCATTTTCAAATAAGAATTATATATATATTCGTCTTTCAAACCACTTTACAAGGGGGTTTCCCTTTATATACCACAAGTTCATAAACTTAAGATATTAAAATGAATTTTGGAACAATTTCAGGAAAATTGTGATAACCTACAGACTTAAACAGCAAATGAAATAGACTAATATTTCAACACGAATGTGCTGATATCAGCATTAATAATTGTTGCTACATTTAAAAACTGCATGACCAATCTCCTGTCCAAAGGATTTCTTTTTGAATTTTTTAACCAAATATGGCCTGATTAAGTATTAAGTAGAAAATCAAGACACTAGAACAATGGAATGAATACGTTAAAGATTAAGCAATATAATTAGGATTTAATATAACAATAACGCGCAGATAATATCTAGATGATCGACAATGTAATCAATTGAAGGACTATTGTTATACGAATGTATTAATATGTTAAGTTCTAACCGACTACTTATAAAAATCAATGTTCAATTTGAAAAAAGGAATATGAGTAAACAACTTTTTTCACTATCATTAAGGTCAAAGTTTGTTTAATACTTAAACACGTTAAGGTGTATCCTTGCTTGCTGACTTGCTTTTATTTCAAAATTAAACATGCTTGTGAGCAAAAGAAATGCTAAATTTGTCGCGACGTTTGCATAAATGAAGGTTTAATAATCATACCTTCCAAACGGCGCATGATGGCAGCATAATATTCAATATATTTTTTGCATGGAACATGTAACATATTTATAGCAAACAATACTTTATGAATATTGAATATGTAATAATATTATGGTATTGATATAACTGATTTTGTCGATGCTATCCGTGACTCAAACTTTAAAAAACTTTAATGACTCAAACTTTAAAAAGTCCGGATGTATTAACAAGCATAGGAATAATAAATGTGACTGGAAGTGTCTGGTCACCACTTATTGCCTATCATATCGTATTATCGACATCTACACATGTTTACTTTGTCTGCACTTTTGCCATCGAATACTTGAATGGTAACACCCTTAAAAAGCTCGTGTCATTTAAAGACATTTTATTCCAAATATACCTATTTGTATCAGGATCTCACCAAGTTTGTTTAGAGCTTCTATCCGAAAACTGTTTAGTACCACACTAACATTGACTACCGCACGCTACTTTTATGTCGTTTTTTAGGATTGAATTCCTATAAAATTTTAATATCAATATGATTTTGAGTGGTCATTTTAGAATTTCAAACTGAAAATTGTGATTCGCATTGACCACTCTAATATTAGCAATAAGGATTTTTATAAAACGTTTATTTTCCAAATAATTCAATAACATAAAGGAGTATCGGAAACAAAGTCTCTATTTAAATTGTTTATTATTTGTCAGATATATGAGGTCTGTAATAAATGGTCAAACACGTTTTAAAAATGAGTAGGTTAGGGTAAAGTGTTGCATACATATTTCATAAATTTTGGGTAGAAACGATCATTTCGCTTATGTGGACTACGATTAAGATTAAATTCAGATAAGTGGTCATAACTCATTTTTTTTCGCACGGTAAAGTTTGTTTAAATTTTGCATACAGTTCTCCTTTAAGGTATATATCTTACATATGTTGCCGATTTTTCAGTATCTTATAGTGCACGTTAGCACCATAAAAATATGTCCGCTTTACATGCTCAGTGTTGAAGCAATTACTGCAAAGCGCGTCTGCAAAACAACAATCCAAAACAACATCTACTAATTTTCCTGAAATAATGAATGATTGACACGTTAAAATTAGCTGCTTTTGCCAAACATATAAGTTAATAATAACAATAAACATCGATTAATTTACAATAAAAGACACAGTAATTCATTAATTTTTGTTTGAAAAAGAAAATCTTCAAGTTACCCGTATAAGAAATGGCAATATATATTTAAATATTTAGAACCTATTTTGTGTTATACATTTATGTTTATAGCCAGACGCAATTAATAATTTGAATACAATGAAATGATTGATGTTGGAATTCACTGACATGTCATCATTGTTGATTTAAATATATATGCAGTTAAAGATATATTTTTATTTAATTTCAGGTTAAAATGCATTCTGTTACTAAACTGATCTTAGTGTTGCATTTGCTTCCAAGAGCAGTCGGTGAGTATCGCATTTTACTTTTTTTATAAGCAAAAAAAAAAAAAAATAAAAAAATTTGAAAATGGACAAAGAAAAGAGATTTTGATTAACTATTTAAAAGAATAATGTTATATTCATGGAGACAATGATTGCCAACTTTTAAAGTTGAATGTGTATTTCTTTTATTTTAGTTGGTATCGATCTAACGTGTGAAAGCGTTAATCCTTTGATACCATCTGATGTGACATGTGCATGTAAAAATGCACCGGGAACAGACATCGACTGGTTGATTGATGATGGCTTAAATTCAAACTGTGTATTGTCTTCAATATGCGCACCCCAGTACAGTGGGTACCGATACTCGATGAACATGACTGAAAATGTTTATAAGATGACAATAAATTCATATAATTATTCTGACTGCACAAAAATTGCCTGCAAAGACCCGAGCGATGGAAGCATAATGCGGTCGATGGTACCTTCTTCTATAAGTGGGTATTCATTTTACTTTTATCTATTTGTCTCCGTTTGAAGTATATTAAACAATTAAAACAGACAAAAAATAAAGAGAAAATATTCAATAAAATAAATAAATAAATAAATAAATAAATAAATAATTAAATAAATAAATAAAAATAAATAAATAATTGTATAAAATAAAATAATCAGTATTTATTAACAGATTAATATATGCTTTATTAATATCCATAGATATATTTATTATAAACATTTTTTAACTTACAGTCAATATCATGTAATCATGAACACTGAATCTAATCTACTGATAGTATTAAGCGTGACTGGTACTCTCGTGATTGTGACAACAACTGCAAGTTATGAATTGAATTAGCTTTACACTAATATAACAATTAATGAAATTTTAAAAGCAATGTAAAATGATTACGATGGGACAGAACGTTTCACAGATTTAAATATTCGATACATTTAACACAAAGTTTGTTTCATTTAGATAATTTAATAATTTGGACTTTGTTGTTGACATTTGATTTGCTGCTAGGTCGCTTGTGGGTTGCGTTCACAATGAACGCCGCCTTTCCTTGTTGATCTTGTTTATCATATCATAGTGTATGTTTTTCATACAATAATCCTTCATATTATATATACTAATGTTACAATGGCCAATGACATTACCTGATTTCAAATTTTTATTTTAAAATTACCATTGACAGTCTTACTTGTAATCAGATTTTTCCCTTTTTAAAGTTTAACAGTTCTCAGACGGACTTAGTCCGAAAAGAGAGAGAGAGAGAGAGAGATAAAAAAAACAACACTATAAAGAAGTGTATATTTCAGTTTTCGATACGACTTTCCCAACATCAATGACAGAGCCAGGGTCGAACAATAGCAACGGTATTATATCTGTGACAACTGGTTGTATTTCTGGTTTCTCGGACGTGGAGTCTGATTGGTATATCATTGTAGTAAGTATTTTAAACTTAAACTTAGAACTCCTTATAATATGCTCTTACATAATAGAGGCACTCCACTGCTATATTTGCTGTATTAAGTAAGTACCAAGACAAAAATAACTGTTTATCATTAGAAATGCTGCATTGATAACAAATTTTCTTTAAAGAACGATATTTAAACATTAGCATTAAAAGCCTACTTTTTGGAATCATTCAAGGTGCTGATATGAATTTTCTTATCGTTTTTTATGATTATATTCATTGAGCACACGGTATATTTGTAATGCTATTCTAGATTAGTTTAATGCTAAACGCCATTACAGAAAGCGATTTTCTCAATAAAACCGTTCTTGTATGATACGTATAACATCAAACCAGTACTTTCTGTATCCGTCTTAGTGAAATATAATACTTAACGTTGTAAATCCAACATTCGTTAATAATGGCAATGTGTTTTAACGTGTTCAAGGACGGATTGGAAGAAAGATATTATACAAGCTTTATCAACAAGACAGACCACTCATCGTGTTTAAATTGCGACACTGATGTTAATGGACAGAGAACAATTGGATTTGAGCATAGTGAGGCATCTGGAAATGGAACTAAAACCGGTCGTTTTAAAGTGTACTTGTATCATGTTTCAACAAATTTGCAATTAACATTAACATCAAGATATTATTACACAGTAAAAGGTTAGTTCAAGTTTGATCATTACACACATACGATTGCTTTGTACACAGTGTCTGCAAAAATTAAAATACGCTATAACTCGATCAATAATATGATGAACAAATAACTCAATAACTCTATATAGGCGTTATATATGTCTATGTCGCTCAGAAGGCAATCAATAAAAAAACTCTTTTTTTTTCATTTTCATATCACAGGATAATGCTCGAATACATGCAGCATTCGCGCACGTGTTCATACGTGATACTTCAAAATTCCCTTAATTGAAACTTTTTAAATTTATTTATGGTTTTTTATATTGAATTTTATTATTAATTTAAGATTATCTTCTGAGAAAGCCCAATCAGCGTGCCAACATTTCATATATCATTTTGTTGAAACATAAAATATAAATTATTTAAATGTTACACACTTACACAATTTTATTTCTGTTGTCATTGCTTTTCACAGATCTCACTTCACCATAGCGCTTATGTGTGTAAATAGTTTCACCGTACTATTAGTTTGTGTTTCTCGTGCTAGTAATAACTAGTCTTATAGCTTGTTATATTGTTGTATTGTTATTACAAAATTTGCATCGTCTTTGCGACAACAAAGTTAAGTAAAGTAAATTAATCTATAATAATTTTACAGTAGAAAAAAATTAGTGCATAAGGTTGGTAATACATTATATTTTAAACACATAACAACTATTTTCATGCTGTGAATATTTTTCAAAATTATTCATGAGAATGTTGAACTGGCTAGCATACTAAATGCGACTTTTGTGTTTCGTTGATATCTTTAAATACATTGTGTTTTTTCTTCTATTATCAGTGTGTCTGAAGGATTTGCCTATCAACAAGTGACATATGACACGTATATTTGCAGATAAAACGTAAATGTGGTCATTTAAATGAGGCACCAAAGCAACACTTTTTACCTAATAAAAAGTACCATGATCATAAAATGCGTTTTTGCTATTATAAATAAATATTAACACGGAAGTTCCATATAAAACGGTAGTAAGGTCGTCATTCTGACTAATGATCTTAAAATGTAACCCTTTTCCTGAAAATATTTGTGATTTCTGTTTAAAATATAATGGTAAAGCACCTATATGCATTAATTATTTTTAAAGCTACTCTCCCACACAACACGGGTCTAAAAACATCATCATATGTGTTTACAGTTATTTAATATACTGTTATACATAGAAATAGGATTTGCAGTTTCCATGTTAAAACGGTAACCTAACCGTTGTTATATTTCACTTGACAAAGATATAAAACCTCTCTTATCAAGCCCGTTAACATGTAGGAAGTAGACCAGTTTGATGCAGGTTGAACATACTAAATAAATGTCAGCTTTTAACCAAATTACAAGGATATGTTCTTCTTTTTTGTCTCTGTTCATAGACATTCTCTATGATACGTTGTGCAGCAATCGATAGAACCACAATTGTTTACCCGTTTACAACAGATGCACTTGCAACCAGTTAACATATTTGTAATTAATTAATTAATTAATAAAGTCAATATTTACAAAATAAGACGTGGAAAAGGTTTAAATTTACAGCAGGATAAACAGCGCAAATACTTAACTGAGATGTGTTTTCGTCGGACAAGACATATAATAATCATCATGTTCCATATAAATTTAAGGTATATATGTTTTGACGAAATTTTATTTTAGAAACGTTCAAACTACAGTGTGTAGGATAAAAGCTTAAATTTGATGTACAGTCATTATTTTGAACAGTTAACTTACCCTTTTAATCGTTTTTGCAAAGGTTTGCACAGATTCTGTATTATATTTTCGTTATTAGCACATTCCCTGTTACTTCATATACACGGTGTTAACTGACGTTCCATGTCAATTTAAGACACACATTTCGATGATTTCTGTTTGGTACTTAGTCTGAATACGATATATATATATATATAATAAAATTTACGAACCGGATAAATAAAAAGTAACGTTTGGTTAATTCTGAAACTCGTTTCTGCACAATATTAATTTGATTTATCATTATAAACATGTACATGTACATACTATGAATCAAATTGCACAAATGTCCCCACGTAAAAAAATTTTAAAAAAAGATGTATTAGTTTGTGAACATGTTTCTACATCTGATCGATTGATATTTTCTGTATTCTCTATATTGCCTAAGGTAGAAAACTCATAATTGATCATGCGACTCAAAATGCATATTAAATCATAGTCACATCTTAGTGAAATAACATATCACATACCACTTTCGTCTACATGCGAACAAAAGAAGTCAAATTCAGTTTTGAACTTTACATTTCTGATCGATCAATTTATGTAGCTGGCATTTAATCACAATGCCATTTGTTCAATCACTTTATTTACAATTTGATCATTTGTTATCAGGACATTAAGTTTGCTATCACTTTCATTCCAATTAATAGCATTTTTATGGTGCTGTAGTTTCTACTGTTGATAATTATTTAATACCTAACGATTGTTTTTTTAAACCAAATGAAATCAACACAAGATGATCAAAATTTAGGTTATGGTCAGGTCTTTGCTGCCTCAAATGTAAAGCAGATTAAAAACATTAGCCTTGTATCTTTCGGTAAATGCTACGCTCACTATCAATTTGTGATTAAATTATTTCGGCCTTAATCGATTATATAGAAATCCTGATTTAAGGACGAAATCATTGCTTGACTAAAGACAAATGACAGAAACTTTTTTTTTCCATTTCAGATGAAGATCAAAACAATAAATCAATCACGAACACTACAAGCACAACAGGTACGGGAACAAATCTTACATCTGTTCCTTATAGCTTCTCATCATTGTCAATTCCACCAAAATCTTTTATACAATTGTACTATATAATGCTTTAGCTTTTGATGTTGTAATAGTTTCTATGATTATGCTGTTTCATTGTTTTCCTTTATACGAAATGCATTAAGTAAACTGATAAAAAAGGACATTAACTTTTCATCGGATTTATTCACCAAATAGAGCATTTGTTTTATGAAAAGTATTTGGACATATATAACATAAAATCAGGTTGTCAATACTACCGAAATATTCCATTAATGTCATGAGCTATGTTATTGTTGAAACTGTTGCTGTTGTAATTGCTGTTGTAATTTGCTCTGGTTTTTTTACTATAGAAACTAAGCTTTTTGTCAAACGATCAATCACACTCGTGCAAAGTTATTTATGCAATGTGTTATATGTGGCATCATGTCCATTTTGTCAATCAGTTGTTACTGTATAAGAAAAATATCTAACTTTGTATCAGAGTATTTTCAACTATTTAAAGAGACAGAATCTGAACTGATAAGGCATATCTGAACTGAAATGAACATTCAAACAAATGTTTCTAGGGCACAAACGTTGACGATGGTCTTAATTTAAAATTTAAATCTTTTCGCAGCATATTTATTTTAAACATATATATAAGAAATTATAATCTGAATAAAAACGTTGTTTCTATGCTTTTACGGCATAAACTACAGAAATGAATAACAAACATGTATTTATTTATCCATTCATTGATTCGTTGATTCAATTATTCATTCATTCATTCAATCCTTCCTTCCTTCCTTCCTCCATTCATTCTTTCATTTATTTATTCATTTATATATTTATTTATTTATTTATTTATTTATTTATTTATTTATTTATTCCTTTCTTACTTTTGTTTGTTGTGTTTTCGTTGTTGTTTTCTTTGCTTTTTTTAGGATTTTTAGTATCTTCCTGGTAGAAGTAAAACTGAGATTTTCTATAAAGGCCCATTATGCCTCAGACATAGCCTCAGTGCAGTAGTCTTCGTACGTGCAGTAGTCCTCGAACGATTACACTTTAAACAAAGATGCAATGAAAAGCTTCTTCTGTTTTTTTAAATAGGGTATCAATTCCCTAAATTCTATCGCGATGCTAATTTCCTATTTTTTAGTAAGTTTAGAAAGTTTATACAAGTAACTAAATAAAGAGTAAAGATCACTTGAATAAAACTATAAATATCATTTATAATAACAGTGTTAAAACGGTACATTTTTTATTTTGTATGATAAATGATTATTCAGTTGTAAATATTGCAATTAAAGTGCAAAATAAATCCCTGGAAATATTTGTTTATCATTTTACAGATGATAACTGTTCATTGAAGACATGGGGCCTAAAAAATACACTCAAGATGAATTTACTAAAGCCTTAAGACAAATTAGAAATGGATGCTAAATTTCAAGTGTTTCTAAATCAACTGGGATCCCGAAGCAAACTTTATATGATCATTCAAAAGGCAAATATACGAACAAAATCACACAGATGGGTTCAGATAGAACATTGACTGAAAGTGAAGAGAAAGCCTAAGTAAAATATTATTTGTATTTGTCTGACAGGGGCTATCCCTGAACTAGAAGTATGATTAGACCTTTTACAAGGGCATTACTCAAAAGGTGTGGCAGAGATACTAAAATTAGCATGCTTAATGGTCCCTCCCATGAATGGATAAGACAATTTCTAAGAAGACATCCTGAATTGTCAGAAAAACACTCTGATGTTTTAGACAGAGATGTTACAAATAAAGAAATTACTGAATACTTTAATCTTTTAAATAAATTTCTTCATGATAAGCCACAATGTATATTCAATTGTGATGAAAGTGGTAGAGAAAAAATTAGAGGCAAAGTTATCAGTCGAAAAGGCAAGAATTCATACCAGCAAGTAGTTAAATTCACAGGTCAAACTACAGTTCATCTTGCAATATCTGCTGCAGGTAAAGGCATTCCACCTTGCATTTTATATGAGAAAACACTGCCACGTAATTGCGACTTTGCTCCCAAAGAATACTGACTATCTGCAACTCAGAATCGTTACATCAACATGAAATTGTTCTTCGAGTGGTTCCAAGACATATTTGTACCCAACTATGGGTCACAACGTCCAGTTCTTCTAACTATGGACACTCATGCATCTCACTTTTGCCCTGATTTGGTAGATCTTGCTATTGATGAAGGTATTGAACTTTTGTTTTTTTGACTCCTCATGCTACTCACTTGCTACAACCTCTGGATAAAGGATTCTTTCATCTTCTGAAATATAAGATGACAGAATCAGCTTTGTCAGTTGGCTATGCTGGGGCCCGTGTAGTGCCAAGAGATAAATTTGCAAGTCTTCTTTACCATGGGATTAACCGCATTTTACCTCATTATATCATGTCAGCATTTCACAAGACTGGCATGTTTCCATTAAATCCAAATCAGGTGTCAAACCCTATTGAACTTGCTATGAACATGTCAAGTTGTTGTGAAAATTCATTGGAAGAAGATGAATCTTGTCAAGAATGTGGAGGACATTCTGAAAAATTAGGTATGGTCCCTGCAGATTTGGCACATATCCTTGTTGAATCTTCACTTGTCAAACCTGAACAGAAAAGAAAAAGAATTGAAGGTGCAAGGTGGATCACAGTTGCTGACCTGAAGTTATCAGAATCTCAGAGTGCCTCAATATCCTCAACAACTGCTGAAATACATATGGAGGCAAACTCCGATTGTGATTACGCTGATGATGGTATTGACTGTTCATTATGCAAATTAAGGGACAGGGGCTTTTTGGTAGGATGTGACAACATCATATATGAAAGGTGGTTCCACAATGAATGTTTACCAAGTAGTCAACAAATTCTTGTTGATTTGAGTCTGTTTACAAAGGATTAGTGGCTTTGTGAATTGTGTCAGGAATAATAACTCATTAACAAAACAATAAAAACAAACACAGTGTTTGATTGTTTTATTCATTGACATAAATATAAACTGTAAAAACTTTGTTCCAGTATTCACAATATTCAGTTTGTCTAACAATTATATACATGCAGTCA